AGCAAAATCCTGGGTCAACCATTAAATTTTCAGAAACCTCATGATAACCTCCCCTGTCTGTGCAAAATAATATTTTACACAATCATGAAGCATAACATAAAGAACTAATGCAAGGTAAATTGAAGTACAGAAGTCCTCAGAATATCTCAGAATCAAAAACTTCATGGAGTCACATTTAATACTGAAACAGGAAAATCACAAAATATCATTGTTTCCTCAAATTTTGGATATTTTCATCCATTTTTTTTTTTTTTTTTTTTTTTTTTTTTTNAATTTCAACACAATAATGATTTCCATTTTTTACCCTTGGTGGGAAAAAAAGGAGCCCAGGATTGTAAAAATGCCCATATTCAAAGACATTTCTCTGCCTATTCACTGACTGTGCTCATTTCTGTACTGGTGACAAGTTTTGCACAATCACATATCATCACCCAGATTGCTTTAATGAAAAGTAAACCACTACATGGTGCCTTTTATTTAGGTTAAAAGACAGCATCAAACTAGTCCATGAATTTGTTCATGTTGCTTTGCAAGAAACCCCGCTGAGATAGATCAATCCTGCTAGTACAGTAAGGATATGGGAATGCAGTCATAGTCATGCCTCTCTTCTGATATTTCTAAAATTTTTGGATTTTAAAGCCTTTTTAATGAACTTTTGTATTTGATACATACATATCCTAAAATACAAAATGAAAAAATGATTGCTGCCAATAATCATATATTTGATTTGATTTTCTGAAAAATCCCGTGGATTGTTATTTTAAAAACTATAAAAGCTGTTACACAGATTTAATATCGATTATTATTTTTCTAGCATTGGCAAATTCCTCTGGCTCATAGATTTCGCTCCTTAAAGCTGTGGTTTGTTCTTAGGTTACATGGTGTAAATGGACTACAAGAGTACATCAGACAGGTTCTTTACATTCTATGTCATTCCTTTTTATTATGTACAGATATAGATGTGTCTGTATATATAGCCATCACCTGCGTCTGTTGTCGCCGCCATCGCCGTACACTTTTACCGATAACACGATAAATGGAAAACCGTTTTTTCTTTCAGCTTGAAACTTACTGAATTGATGAATATTCATAATAAGCAGGTCAAGTTTGAAATTCAGCATGATCGGGCCATTTTTAGTGAAGTTATGCTGTTTTTTAAAACTTTTTTCAGCATATATGCAGCGCCAATAACACGATAAGTGGAAAACCATTTTACCTTTTGGCTTGAAACTTACAAAACTGATGAATATTCATAATACGCAGGTCAAAGTTGAAAATCAGCATGATTGGGCAATTTTTATGGAAATTATTCTTTTTTTTTTTTTTTTCAAATTTTTCAGTATTTTTATAACATGCATAATAAGATAAGTGTTAATTTTTTTTTCCTTTTGGATTGAAACTTACAGAACTGATGAATATTCATAATATGAAGGTCAAGTTGGAAAATTGGCTTGATTGGACTATTTTTACAAAAGTTATCCTGTTTTTTCCCTTATTCAGCATATATGCAACACTGATAACACATTTTAAGGAAAACCAAGCAGCCTTTTTTCTTGCAACTCACAGGAGTGATTAGTCTAACTAGTATACAGATCAAGTTTGAAAATAAGCTTGATCAGTTAAGTTTTGATGAAGTTATTAGCCTTTTTGTATATAAGTGTTTTTTCTTTAGATTTAATTCTTAGGCATGTTGACAGTCTCATAATGGAACTTATTAGTAGAAGTGTTGTTTTGACATTTTCTGCTTCTTAACAGTATTGTTAGTTGATTGAATAAAAATGACGGTAAACCTGTTATCGTGCATTGTGTAATAAAGTATCAAAAATGGAAAGGAACTCATCATTGCAGTTTGTCAGATTCAATCATTCACTATGTTCAGAATCTGCGAATGGAGCAAATTGGACATTTAAAATTGTTCTAGTGATATAATTCTATGTCAACAATTTTCCTAGTTGATCATTTAAAAATGACAGAAAATTGATTATTTTGTTTTATGTAAAACAAGGCAGCAAAGCTGTCAAATGTACAGACAAAAAACAGAAAATAAAGATGCAAAATGGGTCATTCTGTCAATTTTGATGCAATAATGAATAATGCTTATAATAACACAGTCAGTTAACACTGATTTTTAATCATGCACAACAGGTAACATGGTCAATAACAGGAGCAGATCCAGAGATATTTTTTGACAGTATTCCAAAGTATCTTTCTTGATCCATCCTCCCCTTTTGATGGTCTTCCAACAGAAAAAAATTGATGCAAGTCAATGTAAACTTTAAAATCTGACCGTCATCTGAAAAACCCAGAAGACGGCCTCAATCCACCCCTGCAATAAGATTACAGTTTCTGGACCATGAGAGTTCAAATTCACATAATGAAAATCCCAATATTTGAAAAATGTTGACAATACATAAAATAATATTACATAATGTTTAAAGACATAAAAACCTATGCAACTGCTTATGTGGAAATACAGAAAATCTGAAGAGCTTCAGGTGGGTGGGAGTTGAAAATGCCAGTGTTTAGAAAAAAAAATTAAAAAGAAAACACACACACACACACAAAAAAAATTCCAATAAAGCTGCTATTCAAACTTTTAATCTTGCTGTATTAACATAATATGAATAACCCCAATGTGTTTGAGGATAATAAGGCACTGTTATTCATCTATAGCATTAATGTTGGCATTACACAATTTTTTTTCTTTTGTAAACTTATTTGCAATATTAAACAACATTTACCTGCATAATTATCACCAATTCCTAATTATGTGACACAGTTAAGAGAGCTTAACCTATAGAAAATGGGTCATTCTGTCAATTTTGATGCAATAATAAATAATGCTTATAATAACACAGTCAGTTAACACTGATTTTTAATCATGCACAACAGGTAACATGGTCAATAACAGGAGCAGATCCAGAGATATTTTTTGACAGTATTCCAAAGTATCTTTCTTGATCCATCCTCCNTACATAGAACCTGCTTTTATACATTAATCTAACCCACTGAGTTGTCCTTTAAAGACATAAAAACCTATGCAACTGCTTATGTGGAAATACAGAAAATCTGAAGAGCTTCAGGTGGATGGGAGTTGAAAATGCCAGTGTTTAGAAAAAAAATTAAAAAGAAAACACAAAAAAAAAAAAAATTCCAATACAGCTGTATTAACATGATATGAATAATCCCAATGTGTTTGAGGATAATAAGGCACTGTTATTCATCTATAGCATTAATGTTGGCATTACACAAATTTTTTTTCTTTTGTAAACTTATTTGCAATATTAAACAACATTTACCTGCATAATTATCACCAATTCCTAATTATGTGACACAGTTAAGAGAGCTTAACCTATAGGACTTGAATGGTAAATCTCAACGTGTGTTTTATGTAATCTTATTTAATGGGCACTTGAAAATTAATAAGGCAAGTAATTTTATAGCTCTGAATTTAGCTAGTGATTATCCCAAGGGACAACTACCACCATCCATAAACAGTAGCCCCATATAGCACTCTATAGAGCTGCATTGCTTCCAAAACAGAAAACAATCACACTGATTTCCAACACAAGCTACACTTCAGTCCTATGAAACTTTTCAGTAAGTTAGAATATCATAAGTAAAATGGTTTTTCCTTAATGGTCATCCCAGCAGCGATGTCCAAAAAAGTTTTTTTTCATCTTTTATGCAATTTAACATAATGCTTCACAGTACAATGGCCATCAATTTTTAATAATAAAGTAAATGTATCATAGCTATTCAAAAGATGTGACTAGCAATGGTATTCAAGCCAATGGAAGTTCAAAGACTAAATCACACCTTGTAAATGTCCATATGTGAAAATTTCAATTGTAACAAAAAACTATATAATTTCCAAGAAAGTTAACCGATATAACAGGTTTTCCAACTGAAGCTATAATTTAGTGCTATGCTACATTTCTGTAAGTTTGAGAAGAGTAAGTGACTNTTTCCACTTATCGTGTTATCGGTGCTGCATATATGCTGAAAAAAGTGAAAAAACAGCATAACTTCCAAAAAAATGCCCCGATCAGGCTGATTTTCGAACTTGACCTGCGTATTATGAATATTCATCATTTCAGTAACTTATAAGCCAAAAGGTAAAACGGTTTTTCACTTATCGTGTTATCGGTGTTGCATTTATGCTGAAAAAAATGAAAAAATAGCATAACTTCCACAAATATGGCCCGATCATGCTGATTTTCGAACTTGACCTGCGTATTATGAATATTCATCGGTTCTGTAAGTTTCAAGCCAAAAGGTAAATTGGTTTTCCACTTATCGTGTTATCGGTGCTGCATATATGCTGAAAAAAGTGAAAAAACAGCATAACTTCCAAAAAAATGCCCCGATCAGGCTGATTTTCGAACTTGACCTGCGTATTATGAATATTCATCATTTCAGTAACTTATAAGCCAAAAGGTAAAACGGTTTTTCACTTATCGTGTTATCGGTGTTGCATTTATGCTGAAAAAAATGAAAAAAATAGCATAACTTCCACAAATATGGCACGATCATGCTGATTTTCGAACTTGACCTGCGTATTGTGAATATTCCATCAGTTTTGTAAGTTTCATGCCAAAAAGTAAAATGGTTTTCCACTTATCGTGTTATCGGTAAAAGTGCACGGCGACGGCGCCGGTGCCGGCGACGGCGACGACGGCGACGACAGACGCAGGTGATGGCTATATGTACAGACACATCTGTGTCTGTACATAAAAAGGAAAAAATAACATCAGAAACATGTCGAAATCAAAATGTTGCAAAATGTTGTACTCAATATGCAAGTAATTATACCATTTAACAGTGTATGCCATTCCCAAAAACTATTCCAGTAGATCTCTTCCAATTGCTATAAAAACATTTCAACTTAATGCGAAGAGAACTAAAAGTTCAGCTTTATTCCGTTGTTAAAATGTACCAAAACAATAAACACAATAAGGCTAACGGCTGCGGTGGGAAGGATTTGCACTATTTGCCTCTCACACGTACGATGACCTGGCTATAGGGGGCGGTAGTCTTTTAGCACATTTTGGATTCTTGGTGCTGATTGTATGTTCATTATGCTGCAAACAACGGCCATTAGCTGCCAAGGGAAAGTTAACTGGAGGACAAGCGACGAAACGGAGCGCGCTGCCGTGCTGTTTGTCTTGGCCGTGCTGCTGTAAGTTGCGCACATCCAGTTGGAGACTGTGAGGTTTTTCGTTTAGAGACCTCGTTAATTGAATATCAGCTGTATTTACATATAGATTTTCTTGATGCACCGGAATTGGGTTTTGACTACCAGATGTCTGAACATTCTTACTACCGCTTACGCATTTGTTGTCAGATATATTCACACCCCTAAGTCCACTCTTTGCATTAGTGTAATGATGTCGATTTTCAAAATCAGTGTCTCGCCGATGTCCGGTGGCGCGTGTATGTAAATCGTGTGCATCTCGGTTATGACGTAATATATGACCACCGTGTTGTCCCACAGTGACACGATTGTGTTCCATGTTATTGTCAGCTGATGATACATTTTTTGTCTCGTTTGGACGGTTGTTTTCGGGCAAGTGGATTTGACTGACATCGTTTGAACCACGTTTCACCTGCGTGGGCGGATTACCGTTTTTTGTCATTTTGTTTTTGTTGATGCTCTTCTTCATAGCCGGGCCGTACTTCACTTGTGCTTTGTGAACTGCCCATCGCAGAGAACGTTCTACACCTCTCGCCTTTTCTCCAACCCACGAGATAAAGCGTGAGCCCCATGTTGTTTTCTTTAGCAACACATTGGCACCGTAGATTACAAAAGGAACTGGGCAGGTGAGCCAAGCGAATAACCAGAACAAAGTCAAGTATGAGATGATCAAAAGAGCTGCAATAAAGCCAAAGACACATCTGCTCTCACAGGTGCTGGATAATGTGTCCGGAGCACTGTCCCCTGTCACCTTTATGCCATCCGTAGGAGGTATATAACTGTCATTCCGGGTTTGGTCTGAAAGTGCCTGTTAAATATATCAAATTTTAGAAAATTTTTAAGAACTATTTACCGCAAGCATAATGTTCATACTCTTGTCGTTTGCCAGGAATTAATTCTCTCACACATTAGCTTATACCAATTAAATGGAGAACTGAACAAACCCAAACTAGTCAGGGACAGAAAGTGCCATACCTTTTTGATCTTCGTTAAAAGAGGATTTACAACACCGCCATCACATGTACCTCTGAAGTCATCAAGTGCCAGGGACCACACCATGGAGCCAGCTAAGTTATTGTCCATGATATACTGCAGCTGGAAAAGAGCACTGCTCTCAGAAATTGTATGTAATGCATTTTGGCACATGTACATTGTTTTTACTTGAAAGGAACGAGCTTAGATCCTGTCCCAATTGCGATGGAAATGGCCTCGCAATCGAAATGTTACAAAGAGATTAAATGAACATGTGCGACCTAAGGACCTGCTTGACCTCGCCAAAATTCAAATGGCGAATTTGAAAAATATTTTTAAAAATAAAGGAAAAGATTTCAAAAAATCAATTTCAGTTCAATACTCTTTACAAGTCTTAGTCACATGTCAGTTTTTAATCATGTTTCATCCCCCACGACCCCTACCATCAACACTCTGCCCACCCCCGTGTTACACACAACAGCGCAGTCATTTACCTTATATCCAATACTTGTGAGGTCCTCATATCCAACCCACTGTGAACGTGCTGTATTGTAGGCGTATGGCGCCTTGTGGTCATCGCTCCAGACCCTGGTCCATCCAGAAGTCAGCTTTTCACACACCTAATGAGTATCATACTTTATTTAGTGTTATATCGTCCTCTTGAATGCCAAACTGCGTTAAGTTCAAGTTTATTGAAAGAAATCTACTTTAAAGATATAAGTGAGAGGGGCATCCAATTTTCAAGATAAGGCAAATATCAAAATTCGCTTCTTGCCTTGCTGCAATTGATTTTATAAAGTAAACAGACACACCACACGCATATGGCAAACATTTCCTAAACGTTACCTCGAAGTATGCTAGAAACCCGGCCTCTCCAGTGTGACGCCCTGCCGTCCCCTTGCCCCTAGCTGGACTGCCTAGCCCATGGTCGTTGCCATTGGCAAGTCTGAAATAGAATAACTTCAATACTTAAAAGGCATGCAATAAGCGACAGACAATTATATAGAAAATGCGCAATGCATCAATGAATTCGCAGCTTTTTTCTTTGGTCATCAAGGCATACCCTATTCAAAATCTTTGAGAAAATGACAATCCATTTTTAATATTTGTGCGATGTTTTTTGATCTTATGGCGACCGTTATAATCATCAAGTTGGAAGTTTACCATCAAGTAGCTTATCGTTATACAAAATCAATTGCAATTAATGCTCCAGATGTGAAATATTGTCAAAAACTCTTTCCTACTTGTTCTAGACACATCTCAACACAATCAAGAACAGTTCAGTCACACCTAACACAATCTACCTGAATGCCCTGCCGTACAGTGGTATTCCCATCACAAGTTTATTTCTTGGCGCGCCCAGTGAGATCCATTTCCTTATGGCCCAGTCCTAAACATATGAAACCAGTATTTAACATAGAAAAATATATTTTTGACATAAAAAAATGTTATCTGGTTTTAGAGGGAGGTGAGGGTCCCCTGCACTCACGAGTATGCCTTACTGAGTAGTGTCCTAAGCCGATATCATTCTAGAAAATACATTACAAAAAATTACAATTTCACTTGAACATCTATATAGAGTGTTAATGATAGGCATTTTAATGAAGAAAAGACCTACTCAAAATTTCATTCAGATTGTAATGTGAATACATACGGCGTTGAGTGTGGCCTGTTTCCCCGTCTCTCCGGGCCGAGCGTACAAAGGAGCGTTAATGCCGGTAAATGTCTCCCAGCTGCCGTGAAGATCGTAAGTCATTACGCTGATGAAGTCAAGGTGCCTTGAATGGTTAAACAATACACCATTAGTGACGGGTTTAGAGGTAGGCCTGTACAGTGTGCGGTAGACCTTAAGATACATGTAGCAGAAATAAACCTGGAAAACTCAGCAATTTCAAAGTATTGTTTAACTAAAACCGTTTGGACGGTGAAGTGATTTTCCAGAAAAATAAAATGTTTGCTTTATAAAGGCCCAATGCGCCGTGTAGGTCTTAACACAGGTAAGAGTTAAATATTTCCACTTGTTTTTTCAGCTTTAGTTATTCAGCTACTTGTATACTACTTGTTACTAATTTTGTTAAAGTAAACGTCGTGTTTGTAAAACCTATAGTTTCCTACAATACTCCGCATTTTTACCTTTGAAAATATTAGATGAAAAACAGATAGAAATATAGCTTTCCATATCGCGCATATATTGCAACTGATTGTCAAAAGTATTTTTCACAATAAAAGCCTCAGACTACGTCTGTAATTTTGGGACAACTGATAATTTACATAATGATTTGTTGGTGTGATATTTATCAGCTTACTCACGCGGCAATTTTCTTGACTTCATATCCAGTTTTTATTTTGTCGCCTCCCGCTGCCACCGCGGCTGTCAGCAGTAACCTCTCTCTACTCGAGGCTTCAGCCTCGGTCTCAAAAGCTTCTCGGAGCTCCTGGAAAACAATGGCAGAACAATCTTATGCTGTGTTCAGATTAGAATTTATCGTACTAGCTGGATCGATCTATTTCATTGGCCCCATTCAGAATGAGAAGATCCGAGTGCTAACTGGTCCACAGCTCCAATATGGCGGACCTTACATGAAAGGAAGACCGCTTAATCCTGTAATGGTCTCTCCGCCTCTCACACGCCTCCCCACATGTCGCCCCTACAGGGGCACATTATTTAAATCTCAACTCCATTCGACCAGACGCGTGTGGAGGTGTGTGGCAGGTGGAGAGACCATTACAGGATTAAGCGGTCTTCATTTCATGTAGGGTTCGCCATATTTGAGCCTTGGAACAGTTGATACTCGGATCTTCTCTGAATGACCCCATTGACAGCGCCTTAGCCAGAATCCCCGCTGAGAAAGATGGATCTTCTATTCTGAACACAGCCTTAGTGGAAAGACTTTAATAAAGCAAAAACATTGATATTTAATAATTCAAGTGCCCTTTCAGTCAACCAACACTGTTCAGACTGTAGGTTATTTTTACGATTTTGCATAACATTTAGCCTTATTTAATTAAGATGCTACTGAAATAGAAATAAAAGACGGCATTTGGGAATAACTGTGTATGTGATATGAAGGGGATGTAGCTCAGAGGTAGAGCGCACGCTTTGCATGTGTGAGGCCCCGGGTTCAATCCCCGGCATCTCCAATTTTGTAATTATTTTACCGCAGAATAGCTAATAAATTGTTGTGAAAGTTCACGGAATCACAAGGTCAGAATCAAATGATGTAGCTATTTGTCTCGAGCCATGCACTGTATATACTTAACACCTTGCACATTTAGCTCTAAATCTTGTCTCATCGAAATGTGAAGAAATACTACAAAAGTGGGTCCGTTTTATGAAGAAAAAGAGACACTGAATTTTTTCCAATGTTGATCGCAAATATCATCTTAATCGGTAAGACCCACTTTACCAATGCTTTATTGGATAGACATATGCAAGTCGTTTTGATTTTTTTCCTTGAAAAACTGCGTTTAAACATACCAGTAAGAGGGGATGTAGCTCAGTGGTAGAGCGCACGCTTTGCATGTGTGAGGCCCCGGGTTCAATCCCCGGCATCTCCAGTCTTTTTCTTTGCACCAGAAAAATGCAAAGACGTCATTGTGTGCCAAGTGCCGGTACATATGCTTTTGTTTAAGAAAACACCCCTTACCTTAACCCAAAGCGTAAACCTCTCTTTATCTACTGACGGACTGCCTCGACTTCCGGGGTATTCCCAGTCCAGATCGAGGCCATCAAAGTCCCGTTCTCTGAGATACTTGATCGCGTGATCAATAAACTTTTTACGAGAATGTCGCGTTTTCACGATCCGCGTGAATGGAGTTGTCCCAGCATTCCAGCCACCAATGGCCATTAGGACCTTCAGAGATGGGTTTTGTTGTTTGTGTCTCATCATCTTTTTGAAATTATCTGAAAAAAAAAGCGAATACTGTGAAAAAGATATTGAATGAACTGCCCAATACTTGTGAATATCTAATGGACTTAATGAAGTCATCAGGCCCACAAGATCATTTCCTAATAGAAAAATGACAATGGTTAACAATGAATAGACAAACCCCTTGATATAACAACACTTAATTCGAAAATGATTTCATATTACAATAAAAAAAAAATTTGGAGATGCCGGGGATTGAACCCGGGGCCTCACACATGCAAAGCGTGCGCTCTACCACTGAGCTACATCCCCTTACTGCTACACATCAGCTTAACGTTCAAAATAGCATATTGTGGTTTGTCGCTAATTGCTTTTCATATAAAAGCACACCGTAGACTTTTATATAGGAATACTTCATGCCTGCTCCCTCTTTAGTACACCCTGCATCTGTTACCGAAAATTCAGTCTTACACCAACTTCCAGATGCTGGCTAAGTAAAATTATGTTGTTCCTATTGTTCAAGCCCCAGTTTCCGAAAAAATTAAGTCAGGTTCCTTGGCGTACATTTTGTTACCAACGTTACACGGCAGTGTTACAGCACTCTCATGAACATTCTAGTCAACTAAGCTTGGAAAATGACTTAAGTCTTGTGTGTGTGTGTGTGTGTGTGTGTGTGTGTGTGTGTAACTGTGCCCAGATATTGGCCGCTGTTATAAGTCCAATATCTTTTTAGACCCAAGAAACTCAAAGGACACTTTATAAGAAACGGTGTTACAGCGCTCTCATGGACATTCTAGTCAACTAAACCAGGGAACTAACTTAATTTATTATTATTATTATTATTATTATTATTATTATTATTATTATTATTATTATTTTGTGTGAAACTGGGGCCAATTATAGGCCACTTTTTCAAGTCCAATATCTTTTTCGACTTAAGTAACTCAGAGGACCAAGCCCCTTTATAGTATTTGGCACAAGATAAACCCAAAGATAATTTAATGTACAATGAAAAGAACTGAGGCAGCAATACGCACCTTCATCATTCCACTCCCTGTGACTGATCACTCCGCTGTTCAGATTGGCGAATGCGTACACGATATGCGTACATAGCGTAGGGTCGATGTTGTCCACAGTGAAGTGACCAATGCCGGACCTGTATTGTGACCAGTTGGTGTGGTAGCACACACGTAGAAACTGCCGAGACTGAGCTGTGGAAGATATATAAGATAAATAACTTTTTTTCTATTATTTTACACTTCTTTTATTCATGCTGTTATTATAAGGCATTCATTTAGTTTTAACGAGGCACAGGTGGAAAAAAAATTCTCAGGAATTAATATCATGTACTGGTAATTTAATGTTGCCCACAGTGAGTGAAACATTACTCTGCCCTATAGCAATGTTTAAAACACTGAATAAATATGGTATTCTATGTTCATAGCGCATTCACGAGGTTCTTAATTCAGGTTCCTGATCACAGGCATATCTAATAATTTCTATTTCAGTCATACTGGTTGACAGAGATAATAATAACTTGTGCGTTGCTAATTATGACGCAGTAATGCGTATGAACTCTACCACGTACTGAAAAACGAAAGCATCAAGGAAATCGATTTGCACGTGAATAGCCTTTTTTTTTTTTTTTTTGAAAACACTGCGTACAAAAGAGATATGCATGATTAGTATAAATACACTACAACCATATATATACTGTATGTGTAGGCTATGTGTGGGGGGGGGGGGGCAAAAGTCGTAATCTTTTCTCGTTAATTGCCTTTGTTTTTGTATTACATTATATCTATATTATCCACATGGGTGCTGGACACAGCTTTCTCGCGGCAAGGAAAGCTCTACGGAAACATAAAAGAGCAGGGGCAGCAATGCGGGTTCTGTCTCACAAATCAATATTAACCCGAAAATTGGTCTTAACTTTTACTTTACAACATAAATCAGTCAAATATTATTTCATATGATATTATTTCAAGTCGAAAATCGGTCTTTAGAAACCTTGCTAGAGCTAGAATTTTACTGAACTGTGTTGCGTCTTATTCAGACTGCTAATCTAGCCAAGTAGAATTATGCAGAGGCCTGTGGATTTTAGAAATCTAAACTTACCCCCAACACACACACACACACACACACACACACCCCAACCCACCCCCCAAAAAAATACTTTTTGACGCAGTCTAATTTTTCCAAATCTTTACACCTGCATTTTAAGATTACAGATTTAATAATTTTGCTTTGTTTTGTTTTGAATGGAGTATTATATGGAGTCTCTTTTACTACTTGCTTCGAGCAACGTAATTGATTCTAAAACTAGATTCATTAAATGGGGCCATTAAAAGGACGCTGCTCAAATGAGTTTTAGAGTAAAACACTTCCACTACAAGAACATACATATGTTTCTGGGGCGTCAAAATTGTTGGGGTTGATCATTATAGACGCACGCTTTAGAAGTATAATCTGTCGCCTTCGAAATACATGGGAAACTAAGTCATCGTTTGGGACTAGATTGGCACTTAAATATGCCTTATTTGTAATTGATCGTAAGCCACCTGAAACAATATGTGAGGTAATACTAAGCGCAATACATAAAATGAAATTTCTTCCGGTCGTGAAAAGGGAACGTTATCGAATAATGCAATGCAGTGGTGGTGGTGGCACATTTTACTACTCACATAAAAAACAACTACTGTATTCCCTGATCACAGAGCTCGCTGTTAGCCTGTTACAAAATTATTGTACAGCACATGCACAAACTTGAAATCTGTATACTATTTTAGAATCCCCTGATATAAGAGGGTATAAAACAACCAGCTCACAAATTAGTTCTTGTACAACGCTTACAGACAAGTCTATACAGGCTTCTGTGTATGGTGATTCTTTTGGCAATATTTTTTCGTTAATATGCTAAAGAACATATGCCTTTGAAGTTGATGACATTGTTGTTTTCATCAGGTGTGTACAGGTTTTGCCGTGTTGCCTCAGTTTATGGCGTTATTTTACGACATGGGTGCTCAGTAAAGGAAAGCACGCAGATTTTTTTTTTATTTTATTTTATCTCTTTATCAGACGGAGAGGAATGGTTTGTGTTGTTCCGCAGATTGTGACAAAGAATGTAAGAGAAAATCATAAATTTCTGCCTTTTTTGACAGCTGCTAAAATTTCTGAATGTTCTAAAAGTAGCTTTTTTAATCAAACTCTCCTAATAAATCTCTAAACTAGCTTACATTTGACAAAAAAGCTGGTTTCTCTTTTGTTTCATCTTTACATCTTTTGGCAAGGACTGCTTTCTTTATATGGTGTTGAAATAACTTTGAAAATAAGCACGTCTGTACTGAACAGCACTGAGTCACGTAGAGCGCATTTGCTATAAAAACACTCAGAGTTCGCTTCACGTGAGTTAATAAAAAGTGTTAGAGATAAAAACCATACAAAGTATAGTGTCTCCAAATTTTGAATATATATCCTGAAAATTCATTGTTTTTTATGCATTTTAACTACACATTTTTTCTTTTTATGTAATGTAATCCTTTGTCATTAACAGTTGAGCAAAACGTGCACACAATTGAACTCCCCCCCCCCCCCCAATCACCAAGTCTCCCTAGACTGGAAATAACGACATAGGTAGGCTAAAATGAAATTCCGATACTCTAAACCTCGGTGTACATGTACCTATTAAAATAAAATAAATAAAATATGAAGTATAATTACAGGTCTCACACAGCTAAACATATTTACCAACCTCTAGCTTTGTTCGTGGTGTTTTCCTTACTGTCAGCCTGGAAAAGGGACGGCTTGAGAAGGCAGCAGAACACAAGGACGAAGAGACAGACCGTCCTCACCGGTACCATTATATCGCTCTCTGTGACAGTAGTGGGACTAGGTGTTTTGCAGGTGTACCGCTGTATTCGCCTGTAGGGAAAGGATCGCTTCAGGTGACACGTACTGGAAGTAGCAGCATTAAATATAGCACTATTAAATCACTGTAGTGTATTCTGTGCGTGGAGGCCTACTGTGCAATAGTTTCACTGCGAGGGAGCGAGATATCCCAGCAAATCCCTTCCAGCGATAATAATCCGCATTTTCACTTACTCGAATCTCATTAATTGTAAATTACTACATTTGCACCGATGCTCGTACTTTTATCATTTTGCGTACACAGCTCTTAACTCCAATGTCAGTTTTGAGCATTCCATCTTTGACAATTCAGAAAAACAGCCCGTGGCTATGGGGATGAAATATAATAAATATAATAATTAAATAGATAAACAAATATGTTAATTAATTAAAATGAACAGCCTAAATAAACTGATTAATAATTCTTTTCACATCCCATAATTTATGATTACTATCCTTGACCGCAAATATGACCCGGATGCAGCCTAATCTGAGTTGCGGTAAGTCACTATTTAGCGGCTCCATCATAAACTATAAATGTTCAATTGGTTCAATTTGATTTAAAGTCTCCGTCTCCCTCCCAAATCTCCTGATGTCCCAGCTTTGTCACTGGTGAGATTAGAAACCCTGTCCCTTTTGCCCCGAGTTCACCTTTTGTGCTTAAGGTTGACACGCACGCACGCACTTTGACTGACAGTTAACTTAAATGACCATATACAAGTACTAGAGGACAGATGAAAGCTAAAAACAAAAGAAAGCCAGGGCATATGCAGATTCATATAACAACAACCGTAAGATTATTGTCATAAACACAGTCATGCTTACGTGTAAACAGTACAACAATCGCTAGTAATATTTTAAGAGATACTGTTAATTTTTTGGCCAAAAATGGATTTTCCTGGGGTAAAGAACAATTTCCCATACTTATCAATGGTTTATGAATCCATTCCAATATTCACAATTAGTCCCTGTTTGGTTTTTTTATAATATACCCTAAAGAGATGTAGCCGTCTATGGAGGTCACGTGATGTGATGGCAAGCAAAAATTCCAGAATAATTGCGTTAACTGCCATTTTGGTGGTAAAATCATTTATCTATGAGTTGTTTACAATTGCAGTAGATTTATTGTGAAATATGGATATCATACGAAAAGTTGTTATCCCTTTAATCTCCTTGGTGACAGATGGACCACCACTGATACCGATAGCTTGAAAACATGTAAGAGAAACAAAAAAGGACAAAAAAAGAAAAAAAACACTCACGTTTTCTGCTTCTTGACTAGCTCTCGACTCGCATATAACCCAATGTGATTATTTTCCCTTCACTATGGTCCCTTCAATGTGTGCTACACGTACATTGATTTACAATAAATTTCTCAGGTTTCCCCCGTCTTGTTTACTCACAGGCCTAATTTTAGGTAAGAATCTAAATCATTCTTCCGATGTGTTGGGCTCCTCAGGTGGGACGAACCCATTAAAAGCACCTTGCTTTGACAAACCTCTCAAATAAAATGAATAAGTCAGACCGTAAATCATAGACGACTCGTGTCAAATTACCCTTCCCGCTGTCTCAAGCCACAAGGATGAGTCAGTGATGACAGAAGATACGCATAAAAGTTGGGGACACGCTGCCGGGGACACATTTACCATTGAAATGGGATTATAGCGGTTTTGAGAAATATTTCCTTTAAAAAAAAGCAGTGTTAGTTCATATTTCTAGTCTTTCCATAAAGGATTACGAATATACATAAAATATGTAGGATTTCATGAATGTCTATCTTGTACAAGAAAAAAGCAAGATAGTATTGTAACTATCCAGGCTGCTACGCGACACCAAGATGGCTAGTTTATGTCCAGTGACCACGTGACGTTGTTACATGTAGCATGTGATTTAAATGCGACGTGCCTTTTATACAACGATTTTAAAATATTGCTTTACTTTGTAATCTTGTAGAAAACTTATTTTTCGATAAAAGCGTAACGTTTCATGAGGGGGATGTAGCTCAGAGGTAGAGCGCACGCTTCGCATGTGTGAGGCCCCGGGTTCAATCCCCGGCATCTCCAGTTTCCTATTTGTTTTTCTTGTTTTACACAAAAAGGATGCAAAAACTGCAGAGGAGTGAAGTTTCTGCCGTAAATGATGACGCCGATAACGTAAGAATTATCTGAAGCGTGCAATATTTCTAACGCGCTGTTTTCTTGGGAAGGTCCTCTACACAGATCCCTTTTCTTCTTTTCTTTTCTCGGAAGTTTATTTTATTTTATATTATTTGTGCATAAAAATTTCGAGTTCTATTGTATGAAAGGGGGATGTAGCTCAGTGGTAGAGCGCACGCTTTGCATGTGTGAGGCCCCGGGTTCAATCCCCGGCATCTCCACTTTTGATAATTATTTTACCACAGAGAAAGCTAATACGTGAAAATGCAAGCAATTAGAGCGAACAGGATCACAAGATGCAGCTATGTTTTTCAAAGAACCTATCACCTTGGACACTCTGCACCTTCATCTCTAAAGCGTGTCTCACGGAAATGTGAAGAAATAATTCATATCCAAAACTCTTAGTTATGTGTGAAGGACATGAGAGGCGAACGCTAAATCAAAATGAAAAAAATTCTTTAAAAGTGAGTCCCCATTATGAGGAAAAAGAGACTCTGAGTAATTTTGCAATGTTGAACTTGGAAATCATCCTAATCGATAAGACCCACTTTACTAAAGCTTTATTTGATAGTGTTGTTCAAGTCCTTTTGATTTTTTTCTCGGAAAAATTGAAGTGTAGAGCATCAATAAAATGCTATGCAGTTTGAGCTAACATCCACAGAGGGGATGTAGCTCAGTGGTAGAGCGCACGCTTTGCATGTGTGAGGCCCCGGGTTCAATCCCCGGCATCTCCACTTCTTATTTTTGATAGTTATTTTACGACAGAGAAACGTACGTTAATATTCTATTATGAAAAAGGAAATTCAGAAAACACAGTAGCAGCCATTTTCCAGCTTTAAGTTTAGGGCGTTTTTTAAGATTAAAAAAGTATAATGTGTTCCATAGATTCTTAATAAAAAAATTCAGATCAACTCCATTAGGAAGGGGATGTAGCTTAGTGATAGAGCGCACGCTCCGGGTGTGTGAGGCCCCGGGTTCAATCTCTGGTATCCACAGTGATATGATCTTTTTCGTATTTTACGTAAAAAGAATGCAAAGACTGCAGAAGAGTGAATTGTATGCTGTAAAATCATGCCACCAATAATGTAAGACTTATATGAAGCGTGCAATAGTTTTAACGCACTGTGATCTCTTGGGAAGCTCCTCTTCACAGATCCGTTTTTCTTCTTTTCTTTTCTCTGAATATCATTATTCTTTATTTATTTATTAACCTTTCGCATAAAAATTCGATGTAGCTCAGTGGTAGAGCGCACTCTTTGCATGTCTGAGGCCCAGGGCTCAGTCCCCGGCATCTCTAACTTTTTATGGAGATCTAAACCACAGAAAAGCTAATAAATTGTTGTGAAAATTCAAGGAATTGCCGCGTACAAATTCACAAGATGCAGCTATTTGTCTCGAGTAATGCACTGTAAACACCTAACACCTTGAACATTTATCCCTAGCGCGTTTCTTACCGATATGTGAAGATATGTGAAGTTTTTTTTTGTGTCTGTGTGTGTGTGTGAGTGTGTGTGTGTTTGTGTGTGTGTGTGTGTGTGTGTGTGAAGGGCGTGATCGTTAGCAAAATTGGCCTCGGAGGCGAACGCTAAATCAAGATGTAAAAATATTACAAAAGCGGTTCCCCGTTATGATGAAAAAGAGAAGCTGAGATTTTTTTCCAGTGTTGATCTAAAAAAAAACATTTTAACGGGTAAAACCCACTTTACTAATGCTTTATTGGATAGCCATGTGCAAGTCCTTTTTTTTTTCTCGGAAAAATTGAAGTGAAGACGGGATGACATTTAACTTCAGTAAGTAGGGGGATGTAGCTCAGTGGTAGAGCGCACGCTTTGCATGTGTGAGGCCCCGGGTTCAATCCCCGGCATCTCCACAACTGCTAGTTCTTTTTGCCATACAGAATTATATGATAACAACCTATTATGAAAAAAAGAAATTCAAAGAATACAGAAGCAGTGACTTTCCCAGGCTCAATTGAAATTTTCGGTTGTCTTTTTAAAATTTAAAAAAAAGGCGTAAGAAAGAATCATAGATTCTTAATAATTCAAAAAAATCACGTGTATGTCATTATCAGACATTACAGAGGACGAGTAGGTGCGATAACAGTACTACGATGTATGTCAAAAAGATTTATTCCAAACAAGAAATGTACAAAAATAGACAGTCTGTGCGTGAATGCAAGACAATTTGTGAAAACCCTCTAGAACTAATCGAATCCTGTCTTTGCCATATAAAAGTATCATAGAGCGTCAGATTGTCAAGAGATTTCTTATAAAAGCATATCATGTAATAAAAGATAAGTATTGGTGATTATACAATGTTTACACGCATGGTTCGCTTCCATTAGACGCTTCTTCTGGAATCGTACAAAAAAAATGATTGTTCTTAACAATTATTGACACAACAAATATTCCAATACTCATTAAATATACGAAATATCCATGGCTTTAAACATCATCCTTTGATTCCGATGAATGCTAATTGCTCAAATTTAAATATTATGAGCCGGTTGCCAATTCCATTCTTTGGTCACAAGATTTACCCTTTTCTTTCATTTCAATCATTGTTCTTTGTGCAAAAATTTTACAACTTACAAGTTGACCTGATAACACTGACCGCCAGCCGCACTGCAAAATAGCTGATTATTTATTTAAAGAGCTATGTTCATAAATAATTGACAAAGGTCAGTGACATTGCAAATGACACATTAAATGAGAGAGATGTTATTTAACCAACCGTCTGTTTGTGATAACATTGAGGTATCTCTACACTGTATGCATTGTTTGCTTAGCAAAGCTTCAATCCGAAGGAAGATATGTTGGTTTTTTCATAATCTACGCAACAAATGCTCTTTATAGCTGCAGCTTGTAAAGAACCTGTCCATCTTACAAGTGCCACGTAACAAAATATACAACATAACAGCAACAAGTTTTTACAAAAAAAAATCCGCTTAAAATCCGTCTTCAGCTTAAATTCGTTGTAAAAGTTGAAATCCGTCGAGTATCAGTGAAGTCGGTTTGCACTTGCTTCGTCTACGTCATCACGCCAAAACGTGTCTGTTACGCCGTCCCTGGTGACGCCTTCGACCATGGCGCACCCTATCGTTTCTCCTATTGCCGCCGGGTGCGGGAAGGGCTCGGTCTGTCTTGGTATGCTCGCACAGCCCGCACTCTACCGGGCACTGGCGGTACATGACGCCTGGGTTACGCTCACATCCACCGTGGCGTGCCCATCGTTTACACTGACGATGTTTATTGGTACACGCACCTGTAAGATATGGAGGAATTTCATGCTGAGGAAGAATATGAGTAGGTACTGACAGTAAATATCTTTGATAGAGCTGTGAAGCACAAAAACACAAAAGTTTAAATGATAGATATATAATTTAAATTTACAAAATAGTATAGGCCTATAAACAAAAAACAAATAAAAATAAAGATTAAAAACCGACCAACTATGAGTTAGTCATAACTGACGTTCATTTCATTAAAGCAAAGATTTGGGGATATTTTTATCAATTTCATTGGCACGAAAGGCGCACCCAAACAAGAGCGCGTACATGTACATTTCCAAGAAAATTCAGGGGTTAAATTGCAAGTGGCACTTTGTTGAAAATTACCACATTTGCCAAAGCAAGAACAGTCAACAGTCTCGACTTACCTGGTTCACAGAGTCCGCACGTCTTCTTACAATTGTTGTACATGTGTTGCAGATTGTTGCTGCAGCCATTGTTTTGTGCCAGTTCCGCGCAGTTGCCGACCACGTCTATGCACTGGACTATAAAATGAAACAATGTCCATGTTATGTACGTTTATGTAATTGCTATAAACTAAAGCCAAATTCGTGCTGTTCATTGAAAGGGTTACTGAAAACATAGGAAAGATAGTTTGTTGATAACGTATGGTAAACATCGGGTTCAAATGTACTGAATACCTCTTAACTATATAATTTTTTCACTCAACATTTCACAATGTTGATATGCGTGAGCATTCTCTTACCAGAAATTAAAATTACGACACTTACGTCTGTTGTTGTCAACCGTCCCGCTATTACTGCCTTTGTCGCACTCAGTGCACGCTCTACGGCAGTGACGTCGCATCCATCTGGAATCGCTGATACACTTGCCATCACGTGCCATCTGCGCACACTCAGTATCACCGTGGGCGTTCACGCATGCGTCGTCTGGTGGAGGTGGTGGTGGGTTTTGGGTGGTGGTAGTTGTCGGGAGTGTTATGATCTCTCTATCGTCAACATTGTTGTCTTCTTGGCTGGTGCCTGTGGCTATTTTGTCGCATTTTGTACAGGCTTTCTTACAGTTCGGCAACATCCAGTCTGGGTTTGTTTGACACTGGCCATATTTGGCCCAATCTTCACACTGTGCGTCATCATAGTGCCTAATATTAAAAATGAAATATAAATCTGTCATTTTCTATGCATTTTACTATATATTATTGTGCAAACCATATCATTGCTGAAACCAAATGACATTCAAACACGCACTAAAGCATCATTTGTCCTTCCCGTTTCAGGTCCATGGACTTGCTTCACAAAGGGACTTAAGACTGGACTAAAACCTTAGTTTATTTTGACTCAACCCCAGCCGGTAGTATCCAACTTTGATGGAATATTTCACCTGTTCTAAAGCTATAGACCAATAGTAACTTGACTACAGGTAACAACTTCAATTGTCATGTCCCTTAAAAACTCTCTGTTCCTGTGCTTACTTGTTTCTGCAGTCCCCGGAACCGTCCCGACCCCCGCACAAGCCACATGCCTTCTGACAGTTTTTGGTCATCCAGTCTGGATTGGACGAACAATGACCGTGCTCGGCCCATATTCTGCACGATTCATCGTCATGATGGGTGTTCACGCAGTTGCTGTTGGCTGTGGTGCCACCATTATCTGAGAATAATGACAAAATGATATGAACTTAGGGCAGTTTTCAAAAGCAGAAATAACAAAACAACGTTTATATGCTATATGGGATTGGTGCAGGATTCATACGCACCACAACTGCAATTTTGGGGCTTAAGAGCTGATTTTACTTAAGTTTCTTATCAATCTATAAGATAGGAAAATATGCAGTTTCATAAATACACTTAAAGAAATTAAAGTCATATTTCATAACTTGTAACCTACCAGAGCCTCGGTCACAAGATCGACAGGCTTTCTTGCACTGCTCCAGCATGAAAGTAGGATTCACTGCACACTGATTGTCTCTAGCCCACAGCTCACACTGGGCATCCCCGTAGCTATTCACGCAGTTCACATTACCACCGTTACCAGTATTGCCGTCCCCAGTGTTATCGCCATCGCCGCACAACCCACACGCTTTCTTACAGTTGATTGGCATCCAGTCAGGGTTTGCCGCACACTCGCCGCTGTCAGCCCAGTCCTGGCACTGAGCGTCGTCCTTGTACAAGTTTTTACACTCGCCGCCATTGGTGTTGCCGCCGTCGCCGCCGCCGTCTTCGCTCCCGCCACATTTCTGGCATGCCTTTTCGCAGTTCATTGTCATCCAGACCGGGTTCGCCGTGCACTCTCCTCTCTTGGCCCAGTCCGAGCACTGAACGTCGTTGCCGTAGCTGTTGGTGCAAGAGCCTCCGTTGTTGTTATTGTTGTTGTTTCCGTCGCATGTTTTGCAGGACTTAGCACAATTCTCTCCCATCCACACTGGGTTTGCGGAGCATTCTCCCACCTTGGCCCAGGAGTCGCACTGCACATCATTACCGTAGATATTCCTGCAGTTCCCGGTGTCCGGGGTGTCGGTACCATCGCCACATCTGTTGCAAGCCTTCCTGCAGTTCGGAACCATCCACAGTGGATTCTTGGAGCACTCCCCTCTCTTCTCCCAAGCCTCGCACTCAGCGTCGTTGCTATGGATATTCTTGCACGTGCCATCGGTGCCGCCATCTCCGGTCGAGGTGTCACACTTTCCGCATGATTTCTTACAGTTTTCTATCATCCAGAGGGGATTGACCGAGCACTCTCCCTCTGCTGCCCACCTCCCGCACTCGGCCTCGTTTCCGTGCTTGTTGACGCAGCTTCCCGTGATGCATTTCTTGCACGCTTTACGGCAGTTGGCTGTCATGTACTCTGAGCTGGCTTCACATTCTCCTCGTCCAGCCCATTCCTGACAGTATATAAACATATGTATTAATGAAACTATATGGTTTATTCATATTACGTTGTATCCATATACTAATACATTAGAATTACTGTTCTCTCCTATCGTCTTGCTACATCTTTGTGCGAAAACAGTGAATAATATTTGACAAAAGATATTACAGACCAAATAGATTAATTATGGGTTGCATTTGCACTCAATAATTTCAAATAATATGTTAAACAGCCATTTCAAACCCATCCAAAGTCGAACTGTAGGCATGATGTTTGGTTTTATTTACCTGACAGTCTTTGTCCTCGACCAAGTTTTTACATCCCTCTTTGTCCACGCCGCACTTGTCACATGTCTTCTGGCAGTATTGGATCATGAAGGCGGGGTCGTTCTCGCAGGAACCTGCAGGAAGATTAATTATTTTATATCATATCTGAGGATCGGTAAGGCAACATGAACAGTGTAATGGTGGAAGGCATGTATGGTCGGCATTTAGAAATTATGAAGCTAGCAATTCCAAGAGCCTGTTTGAGAAGGTTAAGATATGGGGATGAATTTAAGTAACGGACTGAATAAAGTAAATTTGTATAAAGTACAAGTTATCAGCAGTCTTCAAAACACTTTTGAGTAGTATTTCTTTCATTTACATTCACATTCACACACACACACACACACACACACACATACACACACACACACACGCACACACACACGTCCGTGGTGGTAGAAATGCCAACTACAACACTATGTTATATTAACACAGTCTCCAGTCACAGATCCTCACCTCCGTCTTTCCATCCCTGACATTTGTTTGTGTCCAGCTTGTCGGCACAGGCTTTATTTCCGGTGTCAGTCCCACCGTCGGTTCCTCCGTCAGTGCCACCGTCGGTGTCACATTTTTCACAGGACTTTCGACAGTTGGGAATCATCCACAGTGGATTGGCCTCACATTCGCCTTCAGATGCCCATCTTGAAATAAAGTTAAAAGAGTTAGCTCAAAGAATGTATAGGCCTATGCAGCTGCAAATGCTAACATTGCCTTACGCTATGTCAGGGCAAATCCGGTTTACTTAGTTTGCTCACTCAATGGGTCCCTAATTCGGGACTCAAATGGATATAGAAAAGGCGAACACGTTACAAGTGCATTTAATTATTTCATTTCACACGTTTATGAAGTCAAAATAACGAAATAAAGGGAGATATTAAGGCGAGTACCTCATACAAGCCAGAGGGTCGGTGTGTATGTCTCTACACTTGCCGCCGCTTCCTGTTCCCGTCCCTCCGCCGCCGTTTCCACCAGTTCCGTCACCACATTTGCCGCACGCTTTACGGCAGTTGGGTATCATCCACGTGGGGTTGGCCCTACACTCGCCCTCGTCGGCCCACGCTTGGCACTTCGCGTCCTTCCCGTACAGATTCAGACATTTGTTGCTTTTACATTTGCCGCAGGCTTTGGCGCAGTTGGTTGCCATCCATTTAATGTTCACGAAGCATTCGCCGTCCTTGGCCCATTGCTGGCACTTGAGGTCGTCATCATATGTGTTCTCGCAACCCTCTGAAGTAATATCAATACTTGGGAATTAGGCACCTTCTTATGCTGTAGTGTTTCTAAAACTTTGATTTATCCAGCAGATCATGGACATAGGACTGCGTCATTGGTATCCCAGAAAACACAGAACGTAATTATAACGTTACCATAACGATAATCTAACCAAAAAACGTTATGGCAACGTAATAATAACGTTCTGCGTTTGCTGGGATAGTCTTTAGATGAGTTCAAGTATATAGCAAACATTTATTTCCACTGTTATGCAAAAACATTAATAGATTTCTGCAGTGTTACTTCAGGACACACTACACAACCATATTCTATGATCCGAATTGTTTAAAAGGAGGACAAACAAACAGATGTATAGTTTTAAGAAGAAGAAGATGATGAAGAAATTTTAAAGCCACAACAAATGGAAAAGAAAAGAGAAGGAGCACAATATAGAAATATGCTGAAAAATATTTATTAACTCGTGAAGCTACATTAAAGATAATAACAAGAAGATGAATAAAACGAATGACAATGAGAATAACAAGAAGAAGAAGTACCGTACCTATGTATGGCCCGTCAGGTGACGTATCAGTAAAGTCAAAGCATTTGTTACAAGATTTCCTGCAGTTCTCCGTCATCCAGATAGGGTTCATGTTGCATTCATTATCCCTAGCCCACTGCTCACACCTGTGGTCCTCCTTAATGTTCTTGCAATTACCTTAAAAAGGAAATCAAAAGAAGACGGTGACCTCAGTAGAAGTACACAGCTCAAAAAGGCCATTCTACATCCTTATATAGTATTAACAAGTATGACTCCGGGCTTTCAAAGATATACCGGTACTTGTGTTTCAATAACCAGTAGATATGCTCATTTTCTAAAGCTTAAGGTAAATGGAAAAGCACAATAGAATGACAGGGCTTAGATAAAGTAGGGAGCTGATTTCTTAATATAATTTAATCACTTGGGTATGGAGTACATGTACCTCATGTTAATGAAACTTGAAGTAATTGACTTCTTAGATAAATAAAAATCGAGGAAAGCAAAAGGATAATTTTGCATATTTCTACCGTATATGGAACAAAATATAATACAATGTCATATAATTTATCAAAGAGATGGAAGAACTGAAAATGTAGAATTTATATTTTCGATTAATAGCCTTTTAAAAGACAACTCACTGTTATCTGGGCCGGTAGTAATGGGTGTTCCTCTCTGGCAGTTACTGGTACCATCCTTACAAACACACTTGCAATGTTTGTCCAAGAACCCTTCGTCCACACATCGTACAGTCTTCGGGCAATGAGCTACAAAATGAAAAAAAAACAGGTCTGAAATTCATTAAGCATATTATAATCTAAAACATTGGTACGTCAATGTGATAAAACAACTTCAATTCACTACAGTTGAGAAATATCAACAGTACACTCAACTACAGCTCGAACAAGAAGGCGATACTTATTAAACAATTTAATTTTCGTTCATTTGTTGAAAGGAGGAAGTAAGGGAAAATGGAAAAGGGTAACGAATACGATCTTAAAGAAAATAGCGCCCATTGTGACCCGTTGACTGCTTACCTGCGCAGTGGTACATTTCATTAACGACCCGGATGTCGGAGAAAGCCAGCTCCTTTTGCCACACCTTGCCAATGGTGTGTTCCTTAGAGCGATCTTTTGCCCTAATAGTCTGAGACTTTCCATCAGCTGCAAATGCCTAGAATTAAATCATAGTTCAAAGTAACATTTAAGAAAAGGCTATTTAATTCAACAAGACATTTTTGACTCTTGCAGTGCCTAATTGTAACAGCACAATCGCTTATTGTCTATTTTAAAAGTTATTTGAACCTAAGTGACCATAAATCCTCTCCAAAAGCAACTTTAAATTATTTAACAGACATACTGGTGACCGTATTTCAAACTTTTCAACTATCCCTGTGGTCCCATTATAGGCATCTTTTACTCCCAACATTCCCCTCGTTTTTGTTGCAAGATGAACGGAAAGTGTTTTACCCACATATTTCATAAGCTCTTGATAAAAAGAAAAACAATAATTTAAATTGATATATACAGAGCTAATTAAACTGTTCTCACATGAACGAAAAGTGATACTCGAAAAGTGCGTGTCAAAACGAGAGCACCGTTCGGAGAGACCACCACATGAGAACTTACCGTGATTCCGTAATGCATGATAGAGCTGAGATCGTAGGATGTACCATAGGTGTTGACTTCATTTCTGGGATATTTATCGAACCATTGTCTCATCACTGGGGCGACGTTGTTGTAGTTGATCTCGATATAATTGTCTCTATCTGGCATCTGGTGCTCGTGGAAGAAGCCCATAGCGTGTCCTATTTCGTGGAGATATAGTCCTTTCTAGAAACAAGAAAGCAAATATGAAAGCAAATATGATAAAACGTGTTTGTTTCAATTCGTTTATTCATGATATAATTTTATTTTTTATCTCTTGATTTATTCATCAGTTTATTGTTTTAATATGAACGGATTGGAAACATCTCTACTATTCAGTTATACTGAGAGATGGGCTTGTTTTACGTGATACTAGCTGTGCTGACACTTGTATTCGTGTCTGTTAGGTAGTGTATCATAGTGGGGAGATATTATGAAAAGACGATGCGAGGACTGGGTAAAAATACTGTGAAACTTACCCATCTACATCCGGGGGCTTCTAGGTTTAATTCCTGGGGTCCACCAACCATACCGACCTGAGAGTTACAGCTGAAGAACAAAACTGTATATATTCAAGCACATTCCAGGTATAAAAATATATTTATATCAGACTCCGCATATCTCGTCATCACCGCATAACTTAATCATTTATTTCCAACAAACGTTGGGGAACGGACTTGATGAAAATTGAAATTTATGAATCTTTTATAACTATAACTTATTTTTAACTTGAATCTTTATGTAACTTGATCCCAAAATATGTCACGGAGTTCATTGTGCATAAGCAATATGTTTACAAAATATGTATTTGGTAGTTACATTTGGGCTGACATATCTTTCTGTCCTCGCAAACAATGCCCTTTGAATGAATATACATCCCATTCTATTTGTTTATAATTCCCTCTCGTTTGCCCATGGAACTTGGGTGAACGCAATTATTACTGACAAAAAGCAGAGTAATTCTCAGCAAGACTTTTCAATAAAATGTGTTAAGTGAGACGACTACACATTGCGACAGAGGAGCCGCGTGGTGTGCGCTTACTTACCCTATTCCATTTTTAAACACAACTTTATTGAAGTCCAGAGGCCCCGCTGGTCTAAACTTGAAGCAGGTGTGGTGCTCCCATTCCCGCATTGCGATGTGGATTATTTTTATTTCATTCTCACCTATAAATAGATTTGGAGATTTATTTTTCATGGAGGACAACATATACATGTATAGTTCTGTGGGACAGAGGAGAGGGCCGGTGAATGTAGAATTGTGGCTTAGGTTTTGAAGAGCTGTCTGTTTGTCTGTCTGTCTGTCTGTCTGTCCGTCTGCCTTTTCTATTGTCCTTTCGACGGTTATTCTGGGTCATTTTCTCCATGGTAAAAATGCAGACATTCCCACTCACGCATGCACATGCAGGCGCACGCGCATGCAGGAGATACCTACACAAATCCACAACAAACACACGTACATTATATATATATATATCATTTGTATAAAGCCCATGGAATATTTTTAAAATGGTACATATTTTCTCACGCCCACGGTAAGTAAATATCAACGGATTCCATCACCCTTTGGCAGTTTACCATGAAAAATACAAAAATATTGGAGCTGGCGGGTAAGTAAATATTTGATTCTTATTACAGTAGTCAGTAAATGTGATCTTCAATCATCTATCTCATTAAGAAGACCGATTTAATCCTTCCACATGCAATAATACTTATTCCAGTTAATTGTTTAATGGAATCGAACGTCATATGCTAATAAGCGCATTCTTACACGTTTCCTTAAAACAATTTACCTAAATATTTCGAATGTTTGGGGTAATCACTCAACCACTAACAAACAATTTGACCAGCTTCTCTTCACAAACTTACTCTATTTGTGGAACTGGTTTCAATGAATTGCGGTGGCGGTGACGATAAATGGTACATTTTCCCAAATTAACCAAATTTGTCCCATCGTGCAGAGAAAAATAGCCAAACCTCCGTTCAATTAACAAAGCAATGCAAATCGTATTTCATTGTTCGGTGCATTTTGCCCCAATTTTATTTTGTTTAGTACGACTGTCTGTTTATATTTGAGAAAGTAAACTATTCTTGATAATAGACGCCGTTTTAGCAATGTCTTTAAATTTTTTACAGAGGAATATGGCCTTCCATAAGTATCCGTATTAAATTGGTACATCTAAAAAGCCGGTGGTTAAAACATGTCGATGTGTTATAATAATAATAATAATAATAATAGATAGATAGATAGATAGATAGATAGATGATGTCATCATTATCATCGTCGCATAGTGTTACATGCATCATGTAACAAAGTGTTAGGTGCAAACTTTTTTTATATCAGAGGCGTCATATTTTAGAATAAAAATAGTCCCAGTCAATTTCCTCCGCTAAAACTTAGCTTTTGTTCCAAAGTATAACGAAGTTATTTTCCACACACACAAAAAAAAACTCTTTCAAGTTCAATCAAATCCTACTTCGTTTTATTTATAGCAATTGAAATGGCGTGTACCTGAGGTTCTACAATGGCGGTGTACTTACTGAAATCGCTGGTAATGATATCGTAAGGCATCGTAGCATTCGTCCATTTCAACGTGAGGTCAGAAGTCGCCTTTCTCTTTTCACGAGAATGTTCCGTTGATCGTCTAGAAGAGAGAAATAAATAATCATTCAGTGAGTGTACAAGTTATTACTGATTCTTACCAAAGGCATGTAAAACTTCTCCATGGGCAGGTTTTCGTGAGAAACTCTAGGTAAGAAATGGAAGAGATTGTTAAATATCTGAATATAAGATAAATCTGTCAATGTAATATTTCCTCAACTTTTCACTTTATTTCTTCCTTCAGATTTTAAGATATAATACTACATAAACCTACAGTGAAAGTGGCGCAGACGACGCGCAGACGACACAGGTGACAAGGACGCAGGCTTTTGCGGCACACAGCATTTTAAACATCAGGCAAATTGCGGCTGTTTGATAATCCCGTCACGATTTTTCTCACTTCCTTAGATCTTAATTATACAAGGTTTTTTAAACTCGCGCAGTTTGACTACTTTTCGAGCTCTCCAAAATCAGTTATTCCTCGACAGGTTTGGAGCCAGGCAAATCTTCATGCGTATTTGCCTTCTTGAAATACCGCAAATCCCAAATGATAACGACCATGTGTAATATCAAACCTCGATGTGTTGGATAAAAACGATTAAACCAATTTTAGAAAAGGGCAATATCCTAACTAGGGTAACCACCGACTGTGTCTGTGGAAACTTCATCGTTATCGCGCTCTTTTATTTACCACGAGTCGGCGACCAGATGTGAGGCGCGTGTAGAGTAATGTTTAAGAAGTGCTTGGTCCGGCAACCGACACCACGTGCGTCGCGTGTGTTTCAAATTGAAATGAACAACATGGCAACGAGTATAATTCACCTTGAGTCAACATTAGTATGTTTTCGCTGTGGCATTGTGAACCCCGTTATTAATTTCTTTATGACTTTATCATTGTGGAATCTTTCATAATATTATTGCAACTTGGAAAACAATGCTGTAATCGAGAGACTTGTATTTTGATCAATTTTTGTTAAGAGAGGCATAAAAGTCAGATTAATGGGAAAAATGTTACGACTATTACTTAAACGGTTCTTTGTTTGTGTCGGCACAATGCCTTTTTATGACCAATGGATAATTTAATTATTTAGTACAATTTGCCCTAAAATAACTCTATTAAACATACAAATTTCATTTAAAAGTAAATTTGGTTAACCTGACGTATTTACAAGGCTTGCATTTATTCTAGGGATTCGTATGAACAATCAACTTTCATTGTTTCATTGAAATGTGATCCTGTTGATGAGTCGACGTGTGAATGAGAGAGAGAGAGACAGGAAAAAAACTGCCCGACCAAAAAAGGACGCAGAATATATAGAGAACAAAGCAGCACATTAATTTCTCAACGTGCAAACAATCTTAGGAAGTCTTAGTATTAACTTTATTGCTTATAAATGCCATAAATCAATTCAACCTTGATGTAAAACCAATCATTCTGCGCGTCTTATGCTTTTGCTAATTATTCATAACTGGGGGCATGCATATATTTGACCAATGTTTTAGATGAAAATAAAATAGTCGATCATGAAGTGACTCAGCTAAATATTTCGACCAAAATATTTTCTAATTAATTACAGTGTCATAAATTTGGGAAAACATCCGCTAAAATGTAAGGATAGCTATAAAGGGCGCCATGACTCACTGGAATACGATTCACGGGTTCAAATATAACCAGGAGCACAGGGGTTGAAGGGGAGGTCTTACAATGAGATGATACTTCACATTTCAAATGTTCTTTCTGTTCTGATTTTCTTTTTAATTATTTTTCGAGTCATTTTATTTCTCTGTGCGTATCTTAAAATTGTCTCGGGATTTGCACTAACAATTGTTACAATTATGCGCTGTTTTATTCTTCCTTCCTTCTCCCCATGCATACTCTCTCTCTCACTCTCTCTCTGTCTCTCTCTCTCTCTCTCTCTCTCTCTCTGTGTGTGTGTGTGTGCGCGCGCGCGTATCTCTCTCTCTCTCTCTCTTTCTCTCTTTCTCTCACCCACACACACACACACACACACACACACACACACACACACTCCTTTGTTTCACATTAGCTATTTTCGATGCGGCTTGCCGGGCCCGTGCGACGGTTGCGCAATTTGACCAGAAATCCTCGTACGCTGAGTTCACAACGACGGGTAATGCGGAAACTCGGCGGCATTTCTACGTAACAAATAACGAGGTTCTGCCACAACGCGCACTTAAGGATAACCGTGAGATAATGTGAGGCAGAGGCATATACGTCCAATTTTGAGGACTTGGCTCGAGATCAGGACAAGAGATCGTGCACCGATAACCGGACAAATGGGAGCACTTGCGTGCATTCCCCTACCCAAATAGTGGCCTCGTTTTCATTGATTGTAGTGACTGTGCAAATAACTTAATAACTTAAAGGCGAGGCTCTTATAAAGCTGTTTGTCATAGTGACACGAGAAGGTTACAGACAGAAAAATATTCGATTAAATTGACCATAAAAAACGTCTCAAATTCATATTTTATGCCATTAGACTTGCACCCGAAACAAATCATGGTTTAGTTCCAAAACTTTATTATTTTGTTGAACATGAAATTAAAAATCACACACACACACAAACACACCCACTGTGCAGCCTTCGCCTGTTTGATATAATATATATAATACATGATGGACTATTATTGTAATTAAGTACAGAAAAATCTTACTTGTGTCTTCTTCCCCCGTACAATGCTACATATTGATCGTGGTCCATCACCATATCTAACTCAGCTAACACGGTACCGTCACCAGTGATAACATCCTGAGGAGCTGAAAAGAAGTTATTAAATTATTATTATTATTATTATTATTATTATTATTATTATTATTATTATTATTATTATTATTATTATTAAAAACCATAATAATTTTGTGATTTATCACAAAACCTAGCCATCTATTTTTTTTATTTCTGAGCATTTTGATTTTTAAACTAAAAAGGTGAGTGGGGTGGTGATGGTTGTGATAATGGGGATCTTTGGGGGGGGGGGGTAATTCGGCCTCAGTTGAAGGAGGGGTACCCGTGGTGGTTAAAGTGCATCACTATCAGTTTTAAAGATATCTGTTTGAAGCTTTAAAGCAATAAATTAAATAAACATCAAAAACAGGACTGTGAGAATCGTTAGGGACACATTTTCGAAGAAAGCCGCTTGGAAAATTACTTTACTATTGATCATACAGAAAAAGAAAACAGATTACGTAATTGAAAACTCAAAATGTCACTATTAGTTTTAAAAAACTAACAAAAAAGAGAAAAAATTGCACATGCTTACTTTGATAATACTTGAGTCCTCCTAATTGTTCAAGAATAATCTGATCTATGGATTTATCCGTGAAGGGCTCCGTGGTATCCACTTGGAGTTTCTCTGGGGGCGGACTCAGGAGGCGTTCGGGGCTCTTCATCGGGGGTTGTCGTGGCTCAGGGTTCACGAGCAGCGCTATGGGCCCAGAGCTGGGGGGACCGGCAGGGGGAGGGCTGGGGAGGATGAGGGGCCTCCATTAAGGCGGCAGCCTCCGTGCCTGGGCGTCCTGGGCGAAGGTTCGGAGCCGGCGGACCTGCTGGAGCACGGGGTCTTGCGGCTGCGGAGTAATAACCAAGGCGTGGAGCTGGAGGGCGTGGATCCTGGGCCGGACCCTGCGCTCTGCCTTCGGGGAGGTCCGTGGGGGGACCGCTAGGGGGTAGGGGTTGTCCCCCAGGGGGGTGTGCTCCTTGCCTCAAGTTTTGGGGTAGTATTCCCGACGGTGGCTGAGCCCCGTTGTCTCTCGCTACTCTCAGCAAAGATGGAGAGAGGGAGCGAGGATTTTGGTAATGAGGGACGCTTTTAGAAAGCACCTGTAGAAAGAGAAAAAATATTTATATTTTATCACAGTAGGTAAAAGAAAGAGGAGAAAAAAATCACAAAAACAACAATAAAAAAGTTATTTATGTCAGAAACATGCTACCAATTGCAAGTGAAATAGAGATATCAGTCATTTGACAGTTCGACCGCAGACCGCAGTGGTAAACCACCGCCGTGTAGGTGGCGCTGGGACATAATAAGAATGACAAGCTGCTCCGGGGAGAAATTGAGTCAGACATGACTTTTTTTTATCATATCAGCACCTATAGGTATCATTAAAATAGGACACAATATCTAAATATATATATATGTAGGATCCAGCAATTTACTGCGATGACTTATGTGTTATCTCTACCAGAAATGCGTTTTGATAATTTTGTTGAATCACTGAGCAAACTATGACTTTTTTACCACAGGTAATATGTAATGGCATTTTATTCACACTTTCGTATTCTAAAGAGAGGGGACCCGGGGTTTCTGACCCAGCTCTAAATTGAGTTGAAAGTCTCAAATCCTGTTGTTCGGGAATAGCAGTTTTTAGTCAAACTCCTGTTTGAAGCGCATGAAGCGATCAAGATGATTTTTTGTGATACTAATTCAATATACCAAAGAATAAAATAAATGAGGGGAGGGTGACGTTATACGGTGAAAACAATCATGAATGACAAAGGTAGTTTGGTAGGAGACAAGAACGAAATTTTATTGCGCACTGAAGGTATAACATGGTGTCAAACTCATTGCTTGTAAATGATAGAGGGTGATTGGTATAAAACGGGAAGATTTTTTTATGTCTTACTCGGAGATCTTAAAATGCCAATGGTATAAAGCTATAGAAAACTTAGGTCACAAAATGAGTTGAAAATGGCGTCATCCTTTCTGTCTGGTCGGCCTCGACTGCGTGAGTTTAACCCCGTAAATGACTCCAAGCAAGAGAGTGGAACCGCCGAGTAAGGGACAATAGGAAAATGTATACCCCAACCGGTTAAATCTCCACAAAGAACCCACTTTGACTTCAACAGCCAACAAATCCTACCTATCTTTATTGACACAAAAGTGTTTGCGCGAGGTTTTTGTAATTTAAGTGCATGTATCTTATTCCTAATTTAGTCTAGTATTGTTGAAAGCTACGCAGTGGCATGGAGGCCATGCAAATACGTCGGGAGAGAATGCATCCGTACTTTTGTGGAAGACACGAATTTTTTCAGTTGATAAGAAAACGCAGACGAAACCATCTCCCCTCTTAACGCGTGGCTTAGCGGGAAAAAAAGACCAAGTTACACATTTTGGATATTTTCGTATATTATTTTCTCTAAAATATGCCTTACACGAAAAACGTAAAAGCATTCGTTTTAGATTTTTTTACACAACGTATGGATATTAAAAGCGTAAATAAAAAATAATCCCGCATAATTTTATTTTTTATACCCCTGGAGAAAAAAACCATCCACCGCGGCTGTGTCCACAATAATGTAATACAGCTAGATATTTTCATGTCGACCCCCTCCTTTCAAAAAAAGGATGTTGGTTTTCAACGTAATAGGTTGAACTGGTACAAAAACAAAGTTGCGGTTACGGCATTAACTTTTTTGTTTCTGTACTTCTTTTATTACATTTCAGCAACATGTGAGCTATTATGAGTCATATTTCGAAGCTATACATTGTAATAGCCGGTACAGTAACAGTCTATTTCTCAAGTTATCGACAAAAGAAATTCTGTTGTCGACACTAACTTAGTGCTATATTGGTGAACTAAAACCAGATGAATAAATCAAAATAAATTATATTTAATCGTTCATTTTAATATATGTTTGAAATATAGTATAGCTTTATAAGTACTTACCGATGTCAGCAAACACAGCGCTGTCAAAACAGAGAGCGACATGGTTGGTTTTCCGGTCTTCTTCGCAATTTTGTTGGGATATTTAATATTTTCAATTCAACAACTTGTAAATCAATCTTGTGGGTTTTTTTCCTAAAAACGAGTTATTTTGTTGCCAGATTGACCCTATGTTTTCATGTAGCACACTCAACGTTCCTTTTGTCCAATTTCGATAAGAGTTTTAAAAAATGTTTTGTCTGTGTTCGCTGCTCAGGTGTAGTAACCCCCCTACAGCCGTCTCCTTGTCTGCTGGTACAACACTGTGACAGACTGTTCCGCGTGTCTCGTTTATATACCCGACCCTCGGTGTTGACTTGATTTCCCTACCTGTTTGCGGGGTAGGATGACAGAATCTATAAATTGATAATAAAAACAGCTCTTGCCTTCACGGTTGCTTGCTTTTAGTTAGGGCCTAATCTGGCTTGACGTGAGATGTTTAATGATGAGTTTTGTGTACAGCTTATATTTATATATATAAGGGGTCGACTACCTGGTGTTTAGAAAGGTGACTCGTTTTTTGGGGGGGAGAGCGGAGGGAAGTGGTCAGTTATCTGTTGATATTGTTGTGGTTTATTTAAACAGGGTCGGAGATGTACCCGGATAGCAAAAAACAAAAACGAGACAATGATGTGGAGGACGCAGAATAGACTAGCCGAGAAAAATCAGTTTTCCTGCGACATTTTGGTTTTGCCGAATACCTGCCTGGGGTCATAAAGAACGATATTTATGATTGGGGAAGAATGTGACTCACCTCTGTACGTACCGGAAGTGCGTGTATTTACACAATCAGATAGAGCGTGGACGTTGGATCAGGGTGGACATTGTTTGGACGTTTTGTCATATAAGCTTATGTAGAAGGGGCAAAATATTTGTTCAAAAAATAACAACATAACATACATACAACATGATGGCTTGTGTGTGGGAGAAAGTACGTAATATATCAGACGAGTGCATCTTGGCGATTCTTTAGGGGGAGACATTTCTTCATTTTGATATATTTGTGACCTTATCACTTTCGCCCATTAAAAGTTGAAATAGATAAGAAATAATAAAGAATAATCCGTTCGACGTTCTTCTGGGATTGTTGTGGTTTATGCATGTTTATCTAAACCTACCTTCTTTCGCTTGATTAATTCGGACTATTGGGTCGCTCAACTATCGTGGTCAACCTTCCCTATTTCGCGAAATGGGCATTTCTAAATGCACTGTTTTCTTCACATTCTTTGTTTTTTTTTATTATCTCTGTTAATCCACGACAATTTTTACACTCAGCCCCACCCTGCATTCCCCTACTAAAGGTGAACGAGGGCAGCAAGCAGCAGACACGGAAAGACGCACCGAGGAAGGACATTGCACGGAGAGCACTACATACCCTCTACCAGCTCCACAGATTGATTTTGTCACTAGATATTCACAAATATGTCTCTGGCCAATTTACGACACGATTCTCTGCTGGAGAAAAATGGAGAATAATATAATTAATCTGCGTCCCTGGTAGAGGGTAAGTATTAGGCAGGAGCATGGAAAGTCCTGTGCCTGCCTTGCCTGCAGGACTAAGAGCACGCGTTTGTTTACTCTCCACGCCCTCTCCCCTCCACCCCCCCCCCCCCCTCCATCCCCTGTCTCATAAGGTCATCGTCACCATTCTGGTGGACATACCATTATGACAAGACAGGGAAGTACACGACATTGACCATTACTAATACGGGTGACTGGGCACTATTTCCCCGTACTACTAAACACCTGTAGCCCACGACATTTCTTCAATGAATAAGAAGACACAGAATAAATTTAATAAAATTCTAGACCTAAGAAATGCGCGTTCTTTTATTATGCAAAGTTAGCCGTGGCATAATGCTCAAGCATACATTGTATATTGTAAATTTCCTTGAGAATATTACTGCAGCAGGAAAAGCATGTATTTTAACATTAATGTTTGGATCATATACAGAGCATTAAATCTGCGTTTTTCACTGATGGGGTAGGTGGGGGGGGAGGCTAAATCAGTCTTACAAATTTATAAAAAAGAAGGATATAGGAAAGGAAGTTGTGATTGTTTGCTTATCGAGGTCCTTTTTTATTTCAAAAGTAAAAAACTCCCCACATCCCGTGCATGAAGCTGTGGTGAGCGCGTTTTACTTTTTCCCTGCCTTATCTTTCCTCTAGAAGTGGTCCAAGGACTAATCAACTTGAACTTGTGACCGTTATCAATTACTAATTTCCACGTTGACGTCAAGGTTGGGACACAAGTCACCATTGCCTGGACATCCATGCCCATATTAGGCTGAAGATCAAATAAATCGGTGCTATAGATTTAAGACAATTAAACATGAGTGAAATCGTGGACACTAAATGATGTCACAGTCGTTTAACTAGCACGCGCACGTTTCGCGATCTTATCCCAGTGACGCACAGGCGTCAGCGCTGTGTCCGAAACCACTTTAAAACTTGTCCGATAAAGGAAAATGTAAATATACACTTAGCTCAAAATTGGTGTCTCATCTGAGATAGGACCTAAGTAGCAGATTTCCGCTTCTATAATTTGATGATAAGTGATGATTTTTTGATAGATTACAGGAAGGAGATGAACGTGTGTGCGGATACGCTTTACGGGTTCTTTGTACTTTGTTTGTGACTCATGCGGCACTGATTCAGTTCTGCCCGGGCAGTTTTATCTATTCACCAGTGGACACAATGCATGACCAGCACGTCTAGACCGTAACGGTCAAGCGTTGAAAGTGGGTCAAAGCGTCGGTGGACTGTCGCGGACTCACTGGTTCGGGGAGAGTCACACACTTGTACTTAATTAATACATTGGTAGTCGACTCAGACTCTGTATTTTTGGCTAGTCACGTAGAGGAAGATAAAGAATTAGTAACAAACAGATAGTATCAGCAATAAAAATTTGGAATGTGAAGCGAAAATTACCTGAACAAAAAATACCACCCAGTGCATATATTGTCTAATACAAACAAATATTAAATAATAGCGATGCAGTGCACCTCTTGTGTTTTAACCATCTTTATTTTAGCTATGAATATGATTGTAAATGGCGTCTAAACTCTAATTTCTTAAATTTAATTCTTGATTCTAATTTTTGACATTATTATCGCGCCTGTTAATTTAATAGAATGTGCCCCCCCCCCCCCCCCCAATAACGACCCTGTCGTCTGCTTAGAATAATTGACCGACTTTTGTCTCCCCACCCCCACATTTTGCCCGAAAGGTTTTCACCTTGTTTTCTTCCACCTTCCCTTCCCCATTTCTTTATTTTTTGGATCATGTTGAACCGGAACATACACAACAATACAAGACCGTAACCCGTCCGCGCGCTTTCTTTGCCCTGTGCACACATCACAATAATACTGTTGATGTTTGAGAGGTGAATGGGGGATTCGGTTCAATATCTCGGGTGACGCGGCTATTCGCAAAATACGCCTTCGCAGAATACAGGACGTTTCTTGATATCGGATAAACTGGCGGGCCGGTCCAATTTGTTTGGCCCAATTTTTGGAGTTACACAAGAACGCGCTTGCAGTTGTCGTGAAACGGTTGCAGGACGCGTACGGTGACATTTCTTGGACGCGTTCGGCAAACTTACGTACCCCGACGTCTTACGGTTGAGGTGGCACGTTTTGTTGTTAATTCAATGAAGAAAATAAGCGTAAAAAGTATTGATTGAAAAATTTAATGCATGTAAAGATATTATACCAGTGTTGATTGAGGTTAATCTGAAGTTATATGAGTAAAGTAATAAGGTTATTAGTTATGCGGAGGCAGAACAATAATAAAGATGACAACCTTTTATTTAATTTTTTTCAAAATAAAAAACGGGTGTAGCCAGAAATATCAGATAGCCACTACAAAATCGACACGCCAAATGCACGTTTGTGTGCGTGCGAGAGCGATATTTCCGATTTTACCACAGAAAAAAAAAAACTTACCAGCTGTGATTTCCCACAATTACGCAAGGCACGCGGTAACAAGAAAACGCACTAGGCTGTGACCGACTTCCTAAAGCCCGTTCTTGACAAAAGACAAAAAATAAGGACAGCGAATTTCATAAAATGTTTCACGGGCGGCTCTTCTTTAAACAACATTGTGGTTGTAACAAAACTGATAATTATCAATACCAAGATCGAGGCAGAAAATTACCTTTTTGAATAAATAACCAAGTAACAAGCATACTTTTACAGAAACGAAACGTCTGCAACCAATCAGGCGTTATAATAAAAGAATTTTCGGTTTAATTATTTTCTTTTCGAAAATAAAAAAGAAAACACTGCCGTGTCCTTAAAACAGGAGTTTGGGAAAGGCTTTGGCCTTATGGGGCGAGTGAAATAATGCACCTAAAATGACACAAGAAATGTCGCCGAGTGCACGTAAAGGACTAAAGCGCCCATCCTGTTCTAAGTATTATACAGACCGGCTTCTTCACCGCGAGAGCAAGGATCCGACTTTGAATAGCCCAGTAAGGCCTTTGTTTATGCAATACCGTGTAACTGTGTGTAATGCAATCATTTACTTAATGCATTTCAGTTTTTATGTTTAAAATATTTACATTAATTTCATCCCCCCCCTTTTATTTCTTACTGTATAACTCATTGCCATCTATCAACGTCGAGTTTCTGCTTAATCTTAGATTTTTTTCATATAATTCACACAATTTACATTTGGTTTGAGACACAGGATGTATAAATCAATTCATGTAATAAGCATAGCATTTTGTAACTGAACATCATAATACTATCCAGATATCTATTATTAAAATGTTTTATTTTCTAAAAGAAGTAATACACGTTTCTTATGGCCACGCGTCCCTATAACGAATTTTATATAATATTCTTTATTAGAAAAGTTACTGTCTTCTCTACATACAGACCTAAGCAACAGAAAAATGTACATGGATTGGACGTTCCAAGTCCTTACAATTTACACAAGTGAGACTAATGTCGAACCCAGTATGCAGTTCGGCAATTAATGAATTAATTAAATAATGGTAAGAAACTGCTCTTTTAAAACCTGAACAGTGAGAAAGTCATTTCAAGATCCTACTCACTCTTCTTCAAATGACCCATGCCAATCCATCATACGTGGTAATGTAAACAATATCTTCATTGTCAAAAATAAATATATCATAACAATAATAATCTTCCAAAGCAACAGTACGGATTGCTTCATCAAAACCTTTCACATGCAACGTTCCCATGGTTTAGTCTCAGGTTGTCATGGGAAAATAACTTAGCGTGACCCCGTTGCCATGGAGATGACCTTAAAAAATCCTCTCTCACGTGTCAGCTATGGTCACGTCAGTATGTCAATATTTTTCTCTGCTTATTTGTCCTGTTTGTTGAGCTTAATTCCGTAACAGCAGGTCTACATCACGTTTACCAAGTTCTTCAAGTTGTTTTCTCTCTAATTCAGCTGCCAGTTTATGGTTCTACTTCATCTATGTCTAACGCAGAGAAGACGTTGCCGTCACTGAAATCCTGAAAGTATACGAATGAGGGAAGTTTCATTATAATCAATTTTCAACATGAAGGCACAGAAAAGGAGGAGCGTCAGTGAATGGTGGACCCCCCCTCCCAAATCCCCGGACGATCTACACTCTCTCTCTCTCTCTCATTAGTCATTATTTACTCTTCTGCTCTCTGATGTCTTACCCTTTGCGTCTTTTCCTCAAACTTTGGCATCTCGTCTATCGACCTGGGCATGGGTCGTTCTCTGGTTCCTCTGCCTCTCCCCCGGGGGCCTCCACGACCTCTGTCACTGTAGCCCCGCCCCCGGCCTCTTTCTGCGGAATCACCACGCCTCTGTCCCCAGTGTGAGCCACCAAAACCACGCTCCTCTCCTTCTGAAATGGGGTAAGAATCTTCTCAATGTACGGATTAAGGCAAACGCCTGACCAAAGATTTTTTAAAAATTACATTACAGTATTTATACTAAAAAGTATAAATGTTACTTACTGATTCTCTTTCCTAGAAACTGATAAACAAGAGACTGGCAAAATGTTTTAACCTTTTGAGAAATATATAAAACTCTGATACTGGACCTTACTTTAGAAACTGGCCTTTGTTGCGGTCTCAACCTTCAATTGCCGTGTCACACATAATGCTTATTGTAATTCTACTGGATAACTGAAAAATGCACTCATTTTTACCTCCTCTTTTGGAATTGGATTTGACATAAAAATTTTAAAGATGTGATATCATTACCTTTCTTATACTGCTGATTCTGTGGTCCGTTCTGCTGTCTTTTGGTATCATTCATAGCGGGACGTCCAGCAGACCAGGCGTTAGGGGGAGGACCAGCGGCTGGTTTAGACTCTGAGGCCTGGAATAAAACAGGAGTGATAGTGCCATTTAGTGAAAAAAGTCTGGAAATATGGCCTTGGGGTTTAGAAGACCCTCTGCAGCGATCTCAAATATGATACTTTTGGCACCCAAAAAGATAGAAATCTGAGGATAATCTGAAAAATCTCAACTGATGAAAATAGAAGTTAATTGCTGGATGATACTTGTTTTTATTTGTAAACAGTTGTGATTCTAAATATTAATTGATTATAGGATTTTACTGAATGAGAGAATCAGGAGGAGGAGGAGGTAGGGGACAGGAACCTGTTTTGTTTGATATCACTGCATACAAAAATTCCACTCTTGGAAATAGAAACTAGTATGTCCCCAAATCCTGAAAAGTTACAGAAAACTAAAAAGAAATACAAAATAAATCATGACTCATGATCATATAAATCATGATCAAAATTGAATCTGTAGGTAACCATACCGTTGCTTTAGATCTGTCAGCATAAGATTCATTAGCTTCCACTCTCCTAGGTGGCGCTGCCTGCCTGTCGTCTGCTGACGGTGGCGACTGCTGACTGGGACCCTGGGCAGGTGGCTCCCCCTGGGAGGCCTGTTTTCGTTTCTCCCAAATATTAACAGACGGAGGGGGTGCTGGGGACACCTAAAACAGACATCAAAAAAGTTAGACCTATTTTTTTTCACACATGAAAAAGGATGAGAAGTGTTCTGAAAGAAGTAAAATTTCCAACCCTTCCTGAAATCACTTTTTAGGCATACAGAAAAAAGTACTTGGATGAATCCTGGATGAGATTGCAATTTCGTGAAAAAGTCTTGCCTTGGAGAGAAGGGGGGCCCTGCACCGATTTCAAAAATGATATTTCTTGCTAAAAAAGTTTTAATCTTCTGATAGTTGAATAAATCTCTGATCAATAAAGATTCATTCTTAATTGTAATAGCAATTTTTTTTAAATTCTAGAATGTAGACTAAATTTGAAAACAATAATGAACAAAAAGCAATTTCAAAAATATCACAATACCAACCTTCACCTCCTCCTTTTTAGTAGGAGACTGTGGACTTTGTACAGGTTTACTCTCCTCCGTCACCTCCTGGTCATGACGGTCCGACTCCGACCCCTCTCGGCTACCTCTGTCCTGCCTGGCCCTGGGGGGTCCCTGGGAGCGGGGCATGCCTGAATAATTGACAGGTTGGAGATTATGCTGGTGATTGACTGGCCACATGATGGTGGCAAGGTAAGGTGGCTGCGAGTGTGCGTGCATGCACTAGAGAGAGCGTGTGGGAATGCATTTGTCATTACTAGTGTGTGTGTGTGTGCGTGCGTGCGTGTCAGCTAGCATGCATGTGCCTGAACATGTGGGTGTATCTAGATGGAGGGACACGTAAAGGCACATCAACTATTGCAAATACATAAGGTTTCTTTTTCAGCTACATATTATTTCAATTATTGGTAGTTCAGCTTTGTTGACATTAACCTTCATAAAACACGACCATACTTCACAGCACTGTACTCCTAAAAGCGAGCTCAAAGCAGTTGGTTTTAACAAGTGCAAAGACACATCTGGTTTAATAGTCAAACATCATAAAATGAAATTATTCAATTACAACTTATCCCAGCACAAGCTATTATCTCTTTGTGTAGGACCAAAATCAAGGTTAAGCCAGTAAAGATAAATGACATTGGCAAAAGAAGCAAACTTTCAGACTGTTCATTATAATTTCAAAGTGATCACATTTAAAAAATTTTTCATAGCTGTCATTCAATTTAATTCATACCCATTCTTTATCTTCTTATATTTTTTAATAAAAGCCAATAAAAGTGCAGTATAATAAAGAACAGTGCAGCAAAAAAAATCAATTATGTACAATGACGAACTAAATAATTAAAATGTATGCACATAAATTAAGATTAAAGAATAGGAATGGACCAAAAGCACAGAGGAGGCATAAAACTAAACAGGCAGGAACTCATGTAGAAATGCTGTAGCCAACGCAACCTTTGCACAACAGAGAACTTAGAACACAGCAAACACTGTATATTAATCAATAAAAGAGAGGTAAAGCTTTCGTGAAAACACACTAAAAATTAAAAATTATAACAAACATGTGAACAGAGAAATAATACAAAAAAAAATTGGCACAGAACATTGCCAAAAAAACTACTTCATTCACAGTATTTGTGCAAATAAAAAACACAAGGTGCAAAATTTCCCCTAATGCTCTCCCCTACAACTTCCTGGTCCACCCCTACCTGGCCTTGGGCCACCTTTCGATGACGAGGACCCTGAGCTCAGCTTTCTCTCTCGCCGTTTATATTCCCTATATTCCCTACCATCTCTTCCGCTATCGGAATTTTCACTGTCCCTTCGTCTGTGCCCCCCGTCGTGACTGCTTCTTCTTTCTTCATGCCTGAAAAATTGAACAGTTGTGATAAANTCAATGTTACCATATTGGGTTCATTTTTTTGAATTTCAGGAAAAACTACTGATTTTATCTTTAATTTGTGGGGTACCGTTGATAGCTTTGGGTTGACTGGCATGTTAGATTTTACAGACTTATCTGATGGTGAAAAATGGTCTGAATATATTATAGACTTACTTGAATGACCAGGGGCATCAGTGGCACTCAAACTGACAGGATAGGCTGTGTCAACTGTAGCATCTGTCTTATCTGAAGCATCTGTATAAGCTGCATGAACAGTAACATCTGAAGCAATGGGAATGTCAGTGTGTTCAGGAAATTCAGTGTTTTCAGTAACTGCATTATTTTCACTTTTTTCAGTGTTTTCAGTAATTTCACTGTTTTTTTCAGTATTTTCACTGTGTCTATCAGTAATTTCACTGCTTCTATCAGTAATATCAGTAATTTCACTGCTTCTATCAGTAATATCAGTAATTTCACAGTTTTTCACAGAGCCCACCGAGGTGGGCGTGCCTGCCGAAGCAGGCACAATAGTAGTCGTGGCATTCTTAGTCACCCTCTTGCGACTTTTCTTGATCATCTTCTTCTGATTTGCCCTTCTTTGGACCATGCTTTGTTTTTTCAACCTAGGCATCTAGAAATATGAAAAAATACATATTTATTGGCAAACCATAATAGAAACTAAGAGAGTTGTAAACAGTTTCTTTCGAGTGCAACTGCTTAAGAGGCCCTTAACAAACTACCAAGACTAACAAGTGCACCGAAAATAAAACATTATCAAACAAAAACATTATTTACTGATGTGTTGATTCTGTAATTAAAGGTACATGCCGATGGAGTGCGCATCCCCAGTAATACATGTAATCCACCTCTACTAGTTACTTGTATAACAGAAATGAACTTGACATGCCAATGGACAAAACAAATTAATCACTTCATCAACAATAAAATAGCCTTAAACTATCTCATAAAATTGATGGTTAATTTGAACTACTTATCTAACCTACTAATATTTATCAGTCCCATTTATATACAGCAGAGAAAGCAGACAGACGAATGTATTCACATATGCCTTTTTGTGTTGTTTTACAAAATGCTAGTTAATTATAACACGGGGTACTCAGGACACAAACCATGAATACTAGATATCGCCAATGGATTTTTGGAATTTTGGAATTTGGATTTTTAATTAGAACGGTGCCTTACATACAATGTTTTATTCCATTTTAAATGAGTCAGAATAATATAATATTGGATTCCTTGCAAAGCATAATATTTGTTGTGCCCATCATATTACTGTCATTACAGATTACACAACTACACATAATAATAATAATAATAATAATAATAATAATAATAATAGCCCAGTTTCTACTTCCAGCATCGAGCGGGTTTATATTGAGTCTGGTAGTATTATTTGTCTTACGATGCCAAAGCTCAGAAATGTAAATTAAGGGCATCAGGTATGCTAAAAAAAACTATTAAGGTTTGTTTCGTTATTAAGGTTAAATGGAAAAAGAAAAGACTTCAGAAGAAAATAGGACTTTTGGAACATGTTCAGACCTGCTCTAAGCTACTCTTTTTAAATATGAATTGATTTGTTATTATCAAGTTGTCAGCCACAGCTACTTGAAAAGAAGTGCAATGATACATAACACTTCATTATATACAGAATATCTGTAAATACCTGGATGGATTTTTTACAAGGTAACTAAATTACAAGTGTTGATTGATAAGTAGTGAACCTCGTGTGGAAAGGGTTAAGCAGGGATATCCCTTTTCAACCCTTCTATTCCCTGACTATTTAAAGGTGTGTAGCCAAAGTTTGGTGTCATTTGATTAGTTTATGTCGACGAGGTAGCACTCTCAAATAAGCAAGGCAAGTGACTTTTGCAAAACGCCCCTGCTCACAAGTCTGTCATTGCCATGGCTGCAATCAACGAGTGTGGCTTTGAACTGATAGAACATACACCAACATCCTGATCTTGCTTCCTCTGACTATTATCTATTTTCCAAATTGAGAAAGGCCATTTCAGGTACTCACTTTGTGTCAGATGATGACATCATACGTGAAGTGGAGGGGTTTCTGAACGTCTAAGAGAAGGGCTTCTATAAAAGTGGCATAGAGTCTCTCAAAACTCACTGGCAAAAGTGTATAGATACTCAAAGAGAGTATGTTGAAAAATAAAGAAAAATACTTGTAAAATGTGTACCCCTTCTATATGAGGCTAACTACTTATCAATCAACCCTTATACAACATAATTGCTATTGGCCTCCCAAACAGGTATATTAAAGAACAAAACATGGATAAGGGAACTTGGTACATTTGATAAATGTAAGTACTTATTACTTTAGTCAAAAGATAAAAATATCACAGTCACAATTTGCACATTGAGACATGTGAAAAGTAAAACAAGGATAAAGTGACAGCAGTTGAAAAAAAAATTCTAAGATTGCTGCACAGAAGTTATAAAAGGTGAAGACCAGTAACCAAAAAAGCTACTTGTATGGGTTATTAAATAAACATTTAATTGATCCATCCATTAAGAAATATTCAAATTGTTGATCTCCTAATGATGACCGTAAACATTGTAATTAATGTTCAAAGGGAATATTCATAATAAGTTATCTTTAGCTGACTTGGATAAATGCTGGGGAGTCTCTGCTTGGAAGCTTAATCCATTTATTAACCAAACAGTACCTTTTAATATGGAGAGGGAAAAATAACTGGTCTCGTCTATAAGATGCTCAAGTGTGGTATTGATGGTTACCTTTAACAATCATACTATAAAGTAAATGCGCACTAAATTAAAAGGATATTTTTATTTATAAAAGGGCTGCTACTAGTAACTCATTCCCTCTTTAGGGATCTAGGTGATACTCTTAGCACAACAGTGTTCAACATGCTCATTGATGCTCTGGGTGACAAGTTAATTCAGCCCAACACTAATCTGGTCCCCATTTCTGCACCAAACACCTGTAAATTGCACATTTTAGACAAATGAACTAATTAAGGCACTATTATGTATTCAAAAGCAACCTTCAAATGTGAACAATCAGTCATGAACAAAAATGGTGCAAACTTTTTTGAGCCTTTTCTCATATTTGCAGAAACCAATCAGTGGATACTGACATTTCAGATTTCAGGAAAGTATACAACAGTATTATATTTAAGTAATAAAAATTGCCATAAAGGCTTGATGTTTCAAAATAACAAACCCACATATTGCTAACAATTAAGTATCTACCTATCTAAAAATATTGCCTTGGTATGTACTTGCCTGCTAGTAGAAATCAATATTAAGTGCACACTGCTGGTACTTAGATGATCTTGAGACTTAAATGACAAGTATCTAAAACAATACTTACATTCTATTGCCACGCTAATTATCCTGATAAGGTGCAATTGACTGAGTGGGTAATTGACTGACTGAGTAACTTCAACTGGGAACTGGAAGAAATAGAATGTTATATAAACTCAACTGACTATTATTTAATCTAGCACTGATGCTCTTAATATCTGAAACATATTCCTTTACTTTTGATAAGCTCCACATTGTTGAAAAGAAACTATGGTTACTCAAAAAATATATAGCATATAATAATAATAATAATAATAATAATAATAATAATATTTATTTACAGTCTAAAATCCATATATAAAATGTTTAGTAGATTTTACAGAGGTAAAATGAACAGAATATGATCAAAAGAGTCAAAAATAAAAAATAAACAGTTGAGATATAAACAATATTGAAATATATGGTGCAATGTAAATTAATATATTCTGTAGGTCCCATTCAAAACAAGATGATCCGCCAACTAGCAGATCTGCCAACTAAATAGGGCTGACCCCACTTTAAAATTGATAGCGCTGAATCCGGAAGGTCTCACATCCTCCACATGTGCCCTAAAAAGCATTTAACCATGTGTCCGGGTTAAATTATAAGGCCCATGCAGTTGTGGCGTGTGTAGGGGCAAGAAGACCGTTAAAGAACTAGAGGG